TAACCCCTTGGCAAGTTTCTAACTTCAGTGTAATGAGAATGATCATTACAGAAATACTGACGTTGAATAACAAGCGTGGGATCGTGGCTATACCCATCCTGTTTACAATGTGTCGACAAACTAACCTAATCTTCATAACCTTTACATTTCTGATGCTGCTGGATTTTTATTTTTTTATTTCACTTTCCGTCACGTTCGTCGCAGGGGAGATTTATACATCATTTTTGTATTTTGATTCAGAGGGAAAATAAAAGATATCATGATACAATTCTTCTACTCTGTTATGACTGGCGGAGTATATTGTGCAATGAGAGAAAACGTACACAGGATATTAAGGAGGAGGACGGTGGTGGTTAGTTTTACAGGGTCGTGTTACACCGGAGGAAAGAACTTTGTAATTACATCTGACGGAATGGTACACTATAACTTTGCTGATATTTGTATTATATATATATATATATATATCCTTTCACTTTCCTTATGTGTTGGTTTCAAAGTATATAATTATGATTAATAAACAAAACTAATCAAACTTTGACCTTATTAAACACATAAACACAAGTGACTGGAGTTAAATTTTATGTTCGTTTATAATCTATATCTACACTGACTAAATTATTGGAGGATTAAAAGTTCACATTATATCAACAGTCAAAACTTTTATATCATTGCAATACTTTTATATCGTTTATTGAGGTTCATGTTATAACCTTCCTCTTATACTGAAATATCTTTATGGTGGTAGTTATATTTTCTCGTCTGATATATTAAATAAAAACTACACAATAATCATATATAACTATAGTATGATTAATTGCAATAACCTGTGAAGTCTTTATGTTGAGAATTAAATTAAGTTTGACAAAGTTGCATACAAAATGCCTTTCAAAGAGGAGATGAGATAAGCGATGTATAACGAAAATTGACACCAAATTATATATATTTTCCTGCAGATTGAGTCAAAAGTTTATTAATAGGAAGATGATAAAGACTTTTGGCAGCTAGTGATCGTTTTTTTTTTTTATTTCACGAATCTCTTAAAACTTTTCATACAACTTTTAATTATTAAAGCACAAGACAGTTAGTTACCTGTGATGAGGTTAATGAAATATTTCCAGGTATATCTTCCTTGAAATCTTAATATGAAATAGCTCCCCGATGCCTAGTATATATATATATATATATATATATATATATATATATATATATATATATATACATATATATATACATATATGTATATATATATATATATATATATATATATATATATATATATATATATATATATATATATATATATATATATATATATATATATATATATATATATATATATATATATATATATATATATATATATATATATATATATATATATATATATATATATATATATATGGCTTTTATACACAGTGTTTACGTGTATATAAACATAAAACACCACTTCAAATAAAATAGTGATCGTAAATCTAATATTAAAAAAATACAAGTAATTCTAACTCAGGAGGCGATATGTCCTTATTACAATAGTGTATTTATAGGTTCACAAAATGTAGTGGATTAAGGCAGTTTTTTTTTATTCGGTGAGACGAACCTATCCGCCATCTTCAGTTTGGCCAACGTTTCCCATCCGTGTACGATAATCTGTGAGCATCATCCATTCTACCTGGTGAAGGCAACTGTCTCGTAAACCACAAGCTAGAGCCTCCAGCGAACCCCACCTCACCCCCCGTGACCCCTGACATTATTACTTTAACACTGACTTAGAAACCTAGAGACATATAATGCAACTTGCACCTTTTTGGAATAAGTTACTGCTTCTCGAGTCAATTACACTTTATAAACAGAACTACATAGCCGAAAGCCTATGTTTGCATATAGAAAACACACTCAGACTTATATATTTAACAAAGAGAGAGAGGGAGAGAGGGGGGGGGGGCAGGTGGAGTTAGCTGGAAAAGAGTGAGAGTGATGACTATATTTTTTACCTTGAAATATGGAAAAGACTTGGGTGGTGATGCGGTGTAACACTCCTCATGACCCATCACCATAAGTTGACTGGCAAGTAATGGAGCTTTGGTCTCTGTATTCTTTTCTTTCTGTCTGGATTCACCTTCTCTTCATCTTTTTGTTTTTTGTTTCTTCTGTTTTTCTATATTCACCATTTCCCTATTTTCTTTTTCCTCTTCCTCCTTCTTCTCCTCCTCTTCTATCCTTATATCCACTATCACATCTCTTCTTCTTCATTCCATATATACTCCTTCATTTTCCTCATCTTCCTTCTTCCTTTCGCTAACCTTCGATACTCGTTCGCTTCCTCCTTTCCCTTCATATATCTTCTTCTCCTCCTCTATTCTGCCTTTAACCTTCACATCTCCACCTCTCCATGCCTCTCTCACCATTCCTCACTCCCGCACATCTTCTCTTTATCGATTTTGCCTCCCATGCTCCCTCCTATATTTGTAATTTGAGACTGGTAGTGGGGAGTCTACCAAGATGAGTCCCTCTCTGTGTGAACACTGACAGAGACACTGGCTGAGATGCTGACAGAGAAACTGGAGGAGAGACATAAGAACGTAAGAAAATAAGTAGTATGCAATAGGCAGGTTGGCCTGTACATGGCAGCTCCTGTCGAGAGTTACAACCACTCTCTATCATCCATGAATCTATCTAGCCTTCTTTTAAAACTTCCCAGCGTTCCAGCACTTACTACAAAGTTGCTAAGCTTGTTCTTCTCATCTACCACCCTATTTGTGAACCAGTTTCTTCCTATTTCCCTCCTAAACCTAAACTTATCCAAATTAAATCCGTTGCTACGAGTCCTATCTTGCTCGGATATTATAAGAACTTTATCTATATCTTCTATATTGATTCCTTTCACCCACTTAAATATTTCTATCATATCTCCCCGCAGACTGGAGGAGAGACACTGTGCTGGATACCCTCCCTCCATGATACACGGAATAGATCCTCCAGTGGTTATCTCCACGTGGATGAACTTTGACTTTAAATAAAACTTTTATCACAGAATTCTCCCAGATAGAGATAATGCGGCTTATCACCGGCCAATCTTTATACCATGATTTCAGGTTGCCGCAGTCGGTATCTAAAGTCATTCAGAGGCGTCCACAAGTCTTGGTTTCCTCAGTAGAAAACAACCCTAGAAAACTGAGAAAGATATCTTACTATATTAAACCTTCATAGACAGGTGTTTTCCTGGCTCACCGCGGTGGTAGAATCGTGGCTGGTGAGGTCTTGATTGTATATTTGAAGTCCGCGTGCTAAATGGACTAAATGATATATATATATATATATATATATATATATATATATATATATATATATATATATATATATATATATATATATATATATATATATATATATAGGCAGAGAGAGAGAGATGTCCCTATAGGTTGTTTCATTGTAGTTCCTCCTAATATGCCAAGATTAACATTGGCATTATTCTGGTGGGTGTGTCTCATAAATAAGACAAATGATGTATCTATATAAAATCAACGTATTCACAGGCTGCTTTACTCATCTTCTGTTAAATGCCAAGAAACGTTAACATATTACTTAAAAAAATAATTATTATAATGAATTTGTTTCATAAATGGGAAAAAGACTGATTTTAAACTGAAAATCTCGTAAGGTAGACGTGACGATAAGCTGTTTCACTGTCCGTGCTAATATAATATTAACATTACTATTGGGTTAGGTAGGATAAAAATTTTGGTGTGTAGGCCCGCAGAAAAATACCTAAATCGTATTGCCGTCCATGAATGAGGAAAGATTGCCCATGCCTCCTGTATATGGATTAGGTGTTTGTTCTAGAGATGATGTTTATTAGAAAGAGAAGAAACGTGAGTGGCAGCTACCATCAAGCTATCACTAGCACGTGGAATATTAGAAGTTGTAAAAGTCCTTGAATTTTGGAGGGATTGTAAAAAAAATCAGGAACTCTTCAAAGAACGTCAAAAATGCCATCAATGGCGTGTCAGGTACAGAGCTTGGCAACTTTCTGAAAGATAAATATAGCCCCTTGCTTAACAGCGTCTTCTACAAGCCTGAAAATAAGATCTGCCTTGGGGTCATAACGTTATAAACTTACGAAAATGTCTTCTTCTGCCATCTTACGTTATACAAGTTCAAACAGTGAAAACAAGTAGGAAGGCGCTGGTCAGTTAGTAGTCTAGGTGTGGTCTTGTGCAGGTGTAGGTTGATGGTGGGATTCTCTACCCTCACAGTGTATCAGACATCTTAAAGAACAAAGTAACAGCAACTATGGATACAATAAATCATTTAAAGCATCAGTCAACTTACATTCCCTAACCATCTTCCTATTTACTTGCTCTCTTTGTGTTTGTATGTATGTGTGAATTCAATAACTATTACTTTAAATTAGTTGTCCACTCAGAGTAATTAAGGTGACGTTTGAACATTAGTAAGATTAGTTTTTTCTTAAGAAATAGGTAATATGATGGTAATCTGTCCGAGTGAATGAGGATGGATGTTAATCTGTGTTGTCATACTGTTATCAATCGTTACTATTATGGTTGGCAAGGTGATTTAAGGTACCGCCATATTTAAGCCTCGTCTAGGGTGCTATTACTCTCCTGGTCCTCTATGGTGTCAGTGGTGCCTGGCTCAGCCCTGAGTTATAGTAGCACTGGTGCCTCGCTCAACCCTGAGTTATGGCACTCACGCTGCTGATATGACAGCACCAGGGGTGATGGGGGTTGAGGAAGGGGAGTAAGGGGGTAGGGAGGCAAGGTGTCTTACTACGATGGACACTGAGAGAAAGAGGACTGACGAAAGGTTAGAGGAAGGGTGCATGGAAATTGCTTGGGGGGGGGGGTCGGTGATCACCCACCACCACCACACCTTCCATTCTGTGGTCACACGATAGAAGTCTGTCATCAATTCCACCAACACAACATCCCCAGTGTGTCTGCCTACCCCTTGACCCCATTGGTGTTCTGTTCCTAGACATCATGGAGCTGCAACCCACACCAATAATCTCAAGGTGTGTCCTATGTCGTTGTTACTGTGACATCTTGTATCTCACTCACTGGGAAACACGTGCTTCTTTTACCTTTATGTCTTGTTTCTGTTTCAACACGAGTGATATTCTTTATTTTTATTAATGTATCTCAGAATTGTTCGTTGTTTGTAATTTATTGTGGGTAAAGATACTTTGTAGAAGCTGTCGCAAAATAATAACATAACACTGTAATAGAAGAGGAATGTATACTTTGGCAGCCACAAAAAATTAAGTAATTGGACTGCATGAATGTATGTTGTGACAATTTTAATATTTCATAGTCTCTTCCAGCAGAAACATTGCACTCGGGTTGAAAACGACGTAAAACACTACTTAATATTGTTACCCTTGAGGAGTAAATATGCTCACTTAAAACAGCGAATTCTGAGAAACACTCCGGAATACTTGCTGAAGTCTCTTCCTGCCACCGAGAGCCATTCTATCATCCTCCAGGCTACACCGTCATGTTCCAGGCTACACCGTCACCCTCCAGGCTACACCGTCATCCTCCAGGCTACACCGTCATCCTCCAGGCTACACCGTCACCCTTCAGCCTACACCGTCACCCTCCAGGCTACACCGTCACCCTTCAGGCTACACCTCATCCTCCAGGCTACACCGTCATGTTCCAGGCTACACCGTCACCCTCCAGGCTACACCGTCATCCTCCAGGCTACACCGTCATCCTCCAGGCTACACCGTCACCCTTCAGCCTACACCGTCACCCTCCAGGCTACACCGTCACCCTTCAGGCTACACCGTCATCCTCCAGGCTACACCGTCATCCTCCGGAGCTACACCGTCATCATTCCCAAGCTACACCCATCCCACCCCTCCAGGCTTCCCGTCATCCTCCAGGTTATACACCGTCATCCTCCAGGCTACCGTCATCCTCCAGGTTACCGTCATCCTCCAGGCTACCGTCTCATCCTCCAGGTTACACCACCGTCACCCTCAGAGCTACACCGTCATCCTCCAGGCTACACCGTCACCCTCCAGGCTCTGCGTCACCCTCCAGGCTACACCGTCACCCTCCAAGAAGCTACACCGTCACCCCTTCGAGCCTACACCGTCATCCTCAGAGCTACCAAGCCATCCTCCGGGCTACCTGCATCATCTTCAAACTACCGTCACCCTCTGAGCTTTACCGTCATCCTCCAGAATTACACCGTCATCCTCCAAGGCTTCACCGTCATCCTCCAGGTACACCGTCATCCTCCAAACTTCCACCGTCATCCTCCAGAATTACACCGTCACCCTCAAACTACCGTCATCCTCCAGGCTACACCGTCACCCTCAAACTACCGTCACCCTCAAACTACACCGTCACCTCCAGTTACCATCACCCTCAAACTACCATCATCCTCCAGGCTACACCGTCACCTCCGGAATTACACCGTCATCCTCCAAGCTACACCATCTTCCTCGACTACCGTCACCCTCCAGGTTACTCCGTCATCCTCCAGGCTACACCGTCACCCTCCAGGCTACACCGTCACCCTCCAGGCTACACCGTCACCCTCCGGGCTACACCGTCACCCTCCGGGCTACACCGTCACCCTCCAGGTTACACCGTCATCCTCCGGGCTACACCGTCATCCTCCTCACGCCTGGATATAAGAACTTAGTACTTTACGTCCACACTAACATACAGACTTGAATTAGCATTAATAATTCACGGTAAAGTTTGTTACTGCCACGTTACGTCTTATTTACTTTTCCGTCTTCATATATTCTCTTCCATCTTTTCTACCTTTAGTCTTTCACGTTAAGGTTGGATGTGCTCTTGTTTCAAATTTCCCGTCCACTGAGGATGAAACGACCAGGAAATCTTTTGGTATTATTTATGAAAGTTTTGAGCTTCGGTATCATATAAGTACGAATAAACTGCCCCCCCCACCCTGCCCCTCCACGCTGGGTTCCGCCATGGTGCTCGGAGTATTGACTAATAGATATACTGTCTACCCATCTGATATGATTTCCGAGCAAATTGGCAATTTCAGATCTGGCTGCTGATGCATCAGATGACTCTCCCCAGTGACTGGCTACTGACGCTGTGACATTAACAAACAGTGTCCAAGTCTGGTGTAACGACGTGATATCGGTGTTACTTAAAATATATCAATCGATCAATTACCTTCACGATTTACACACCAAATAGTCCAGGTAATTTACTTTAAATATCGATCATTGATGACATAAATGGCAACAAGTTTACTACGAACATCGAATTATGAGAAGAAAAAAATCACAAGCTACGTCCTATTACATTGCGAATTGGCAGTAAAGTATGTTCTTGTGTTATAGGCCTATGAATATACTCTAGTGTAATAATAGCTTGTTTCCCTTCCTGCAGATGATGATAGTTTTACCTCCTTATAGCTTTACCTTATGTTCGTACTAGTTGATATAGACTGAGTCATGGCAAGGTGGGAGTGGAAGGTTAGACAAGGAAACCGAGGCGTGAATGAGATGCCAGGTGTGAAAGGAAAGGTGATGAGATCGAGTGTTTACCTGCTTCCTAGAGAACAATAGTGAGCTGGGAATAGGTGTTGAGTCCTGTTGTTATGATGGTGTAGTGTGTGTGTGTGTGTGTGTGTGTGTGTGTGTGTGTGTGTGTGTGTGTGTGTGTGTGTGTGTGTGTGTGTGTGTGCATCTTTGTGTGTGTGTGTGTGCATCTTTGTGTGTGTGTGTGCATCTTTGTGTTGCTTTTTTGCATAAATCTTGTATACAATATAATATATGTAAGTGTTAAAACAGAACTCTTCTCAAACGTATTTTCCACAAAATTTATCCTACATTGAAATTAAGAGCAGAAGTATAATTAGTTTTGCATTCTTAACACTCACAATCTTCAGACAAGCATTATAATCTGTTCTGAGTTCGGACGATGATAAGGAAGTATTCGTGAAAAAGACAGACCCACACATCAGCAAATCCGAACCTAGCATGAAACTGATATTCATAGTTCACCATCGCATAATATTATACAACACCAAAATATGAAACTACAGCACATCACATACACACAAAGTAACACAGCAACAAGGCACAGCAACACAGCACCAAGCAGTAAGGCACAGCAAAGGAGCAATATACAATAGCTCAGCAGCATTCAATACAGCACAGCAACAAGGCACAGCAACACAGCACCAAGCAACAAGGTACAGCAACACAACTCCAGCAGCAAGGCACAGCACCCTATATAGAGACACAATCTGAGACAGTAAAGCGCGGCTCCATCTGAGCGACGTAGCAATATTGCAAGAAATCGCCCATAAACCGTTCCACCGGCTGAATGGCGCCCTGACTTTAATTCATATCCTATGCAGGTGACTCCACTCCAGGGAAACGCTCCAAAATTCTCCACTATTTATATAACGAACTCACTGTATTATTTTCGTCTAGTGTGTGTGTGTGTGTGTGTGTGTGTGTGTGTGTTTGTGTGTAACTTGTGAATAGCATAATTTTTCAAATGTTCTCGGAATTTTTGTAATTTGATTCAGTACACAATGTCAGATTAAAAAAAATCCATAATTTGTGTAGTTTGTTTTTAATATTTTTATGGGCATAGATAGATATTTAATCTAAGTGTAATTTAACTTTGAATTTTCTTGGCTTTTATACAGATAAGAAAGTGATAAAGTGATAAAGACAAAATCGATGAACTAGTGTAAGGTTTCATGTTACATTATGCTCATGGAATGAAAATTTATCCAACTCTTTTCCTCTTCGTGTGAGTTTACTCCTTTTTCTTCACAGTATTAAGCTCTCTGGTTTTAAGACGATAATACCCTAATTATAATGTTTAGGAGGGAGTTATTTGTCCGTAAATTTATAACTAATGAAATAAACTTCTTACAGAAGAATTTCCTCTCAAAAATTCCTTCAACCAATATTCTTAGCGTATATACTGTAAGCCCCTGATGAATGAATTAATTAATTACCACAGTTATAAAAGTATTATTCGTTTTTCCTCTTGCTCTCAATTTTTCACAGAGTTATTTTAACAGAAATATCAGAGACTGGAATAATATAAATGATTTATTACCATCCGTCACATTAGCTTATTGAGTGATGTCTATGCTCCCTGGGATATATATATATATATATATATATATATATATATATATATATATATATATATATATATATATATATATATATATATATATATATATATATATATATATATATATATATGTGTGTGTGTGTGTGTGTGTGTGTGTTATCCTTTACTTGATTACAACAGGAGGGGACATATTCCTTAAGCTCTTCAAGAATATGTTCCCGATATTTTTAAATACAATAGATATAATAAGAATGTTTCATTACACAACCGGTTCGCTCTGACGACACTTGCAAGGCGACCAAGCGATCAAACTTACTGTGTTTAGGTGTCTTAGTGTGGACGAGGCATTATTTCTTTACTGACTCTAGCACAGTATTCCTATCGTGTGGAAATATAGTCATGGTCTTCTATGATGTTACCAGTTTTTCTCCCTCACTGCCTATGAATATTTTCGTAACTTATCTTCATTTTTACATAATTTTTTGACTGATTTAATAAATTTTGGTGGGATTAAAGATCACAAAGACGAACTTTTTAACCGAAAATGAAAGGGTGTGATTTTTTTGTTCCAGTCAAATGAATATACAAAATACAGCTGCCACTGCTGCGGTTGATCCTAGAGTGTGACGTATACACCACCAACACCATATACTGTGTGTGTGTGTGTGTGTGTGTGTGTGTGTGTGTGTGTGAGTGCGTGGGTGTGTGTAAAACAGGACACTCCTGGCTTAATTCATGGGCAGTACCAAGGTTGAGGTCAATGGGGAAGACAACCTTGAAATAACAGAGGTATTCAGTGCTGTTAGAAGAAAAATAAAATGGTAACTATCTTAGCAATCCTGCAATTGAGCAAGAGAGAGAGAGAGAGAGAGAGAGAGAGAAAGAGAGTCTATCGTTCTCAGCAGCAACACCACCACTATCGACGTCTGCCTGGTGGTTTATACTAAATCACAATCAGATATGCATCACCTCGTATTCCTATTTTCAGCCATGAACAGAGTGGAGCATTTGTCAAGGTGGATGACGCACCACACTCAACTCTCTCCACCACCACCACCCATAAAACGCGTCCCGTCTGTTCCTCCTTTCCACCTTCCATCCTTGCAGCCACAAATCATATCCTACTTATCTTTCATTATCAATATTCACCGTCACACGTCACCTCTCCCCCCCCCCTCTCCCCTCCTCCTCCTCTTCCTATTCCTTCTCTTCTTCTTCTTCTTCCTCCTCCTCCTCCTCCTCCTCCTAACCCTTCCAGCCAGGCAATACCGAAACTGGTTTAAGGGAGTTACTAATGCCGATGATGTATTGAGGATTCAGACGCAGGTTGACACGTGTCGAGGCTGGTTTTAGTCTTGGCGTATTGAACATAGACAATCTCCTCCATATATCTGGAGATCTATGTGAAATATTACGCTACAAGGAGATGCATTATATTTTCTAATGTACTTGATTATCTTTTTTTTATTCTATTGAAATTGATGACAAAGATGAAATTGGTACAGCTAAACGTTTTCTGCCTGTCTGTCTGTTTGTCTTCATCTATCATCCCCTTTACGTATGTTTTATTTCATATAAACACATCACTTGGGGTTAATTACTGACCTGTCGATTGTAGATACATCCACCATTTATAACGTGGTTGAGCGGAAGTTTAATACTGAGTTACACACCATTTCCAACACTCCATCACCCACCCTCACTTCTTCCCCCCCCCCCTCACCCTGCCGAACACCAGGAGCCAGTCACTGTCCTCACCCTGCCAACACCTGGAGCCAGTCACTGTCCTCACCCTGCCAACACCTGCCATCACCTATACCAACTCTCTCAGCCTCTCCTCTCACCCTCCCAACACCTACAGCCTCCCTCCCAGCCTCTTCCCTCACCCTCTCCAACCCCTGGTCTCTTGCCTTCGCCTTGATCTCTGGAATGTCAAATGGCAACATCGGTGGATTCATAAACAGAAAAGAAAGCTTTCCTTTACCGTGTATCAACAAAGAATGACTTCTTCTCTAGGACTGAGTTGTGTCCAGCTTTCGAGGGAATTGTATATTTGTATTTTTAGATGATAACAGATAAAAATTATTGTGTTTCTGTATCCTGTATCTCTCTCCAGGGTTCTTGGTTATTCTGCCTTGATAACACCTGATAAGAAGACGCCCTGGACTTAGGTGGTCTATGGTGTTGGTGCACTGATGACATGCTAGTAATATGTTTATATTTATTGATGGCTCTTAAGTTAACAATGAAAGTCGAGTTGGATGTTACTAAAGGTTTGCCCCTCTCTCTCTCTCTTTTATTTTTTTCTGAACATCTGAACTCTTCCTGATCCTTCATGATATTTTGACGTATTATTGATGCTTAGATTTCCTATACAAAAGACCTCTGTACTCGGCTCTCACCCCTTCACTCCCGCCGCCATGTACTTTTCTTCCTCAAGTGACACAGAAGTTGCTCCTCGCTTACCTTCGTATCTTCACATTTTATACAATAGTATCATAATTGATTCTTGGGATACAGATGAACGAAAATCATAAAGAGAAGAAAC